GTCAAAGAGACGACGTTTAGTGTGATGAACCTGTAAAAAGACAGCACATGGTTGCCGTGACAGAATAGAGAAAGTACGAACCCCGGGACGTCTCTCCTGGAAGTTAACATCAACCATGCTGCTGAAAGGGAAATAGGGTTCTATGGATAGCGGCTCGGATTGAGGAATCGGAGAGCCGAGTTCGAATTCCAGTCGAATCCATTACATTCACTTACGTGCTAATACCTTGGGAAAAGGTATGAATTCTATTTTCCTCCCTCCAGCTATGGGTAAAAAGCAGGGCAGACCGGTTTCTTTAGCCTTGGATGGCAACTCGTGTACCGCAGAAAGAAATGGCAACCTACTACGGGAAGAAATCTGCCTCGTCAGTCATGTATAGAAAGATACATGATCTCCTAAGCGTGTATCACGTATGGCACATAACTAACTGACGTTCATTTAAAATTAACAAGCCATTTCTTGCCCCAGTTAACAACAGATCGTAGGTCGTTTTTTAAGATCAGCAGCTAATCTGACCTTATTGAACTGAACAGACTTACTATTAGGACAAAAGTACATAAATGTGTCCTCAGTATATATACAGAGTTGAGTGCTGATGATATTAGGAAGGTTGTTGATGAAAATTAGGATAAATGTAGGTCCAAGGGTGGAGCCCTTGGGTACACCTGTATTAATGCCGAAAGAAAAGGCACAGGAAAGCTATGTTACAGCCGTGTTCTTTGGATTTTATCAAAAATATCTATATCTGAAATTCTCAAAATATGTTTATGTATACATGTGTATGTATGCATGTGTGTGTATATGTATGCATGTGTGTATGTATGTATGCATCTGCGTGTGTGTGTGTATGTATGTATGTATGCATGTGTGTGTGTGTGTGATCAGATGTTGTTTAAGAGTTTCCACAGTTTTCATCTGATTTCGAGGATCTTTTTTTTGTTTGATGAATAATTCTTCAGTGTCGGTTTTGAGTTCAAATTGGCTGGAAAAAAATTACAATCTTAAAGGTAAAAAATCGAAAAATCTGAGTTTTTACACTTTGCGCAAAAATCAAAGGAAAAAATTTAATGTCTTAAAAAAAAAACAGCGTGCAATTAATTTAGTGAGTTGATATCTAACGCAAAAGATTATTAGAATTATAAAAAAATGATATTATAAATAAAAATTATCGTATATTATTATGACGGTCCATGGAAAAGGTTCCTTCCTTGCAAGTTTGAGAACGCAAAAATGGTACTTTTCAGAGCCACCCCTTCATTCAAATTGTTAACCCCTCACTTTGGGGATGTGCTTCAGTTGCATCCGAATGTTGTTACTAATATTGATTTTCGGGTGGTCTGACTTTAAACTTAAACTGCTCCAATTGAACGGCAAAATTCCCAGTAATGAAAGACCCGGTCGAAGTCGGGTGATACTGCTAGTTTACAGTAAAGGAAAAAGACAGGTGTAAATAAAATAATAATATGAAAAAAGACTCGTGTACTGTTGCTAATGCTGCCTATGAAATTGTTTGTTGATTTAGTTGTGTAAATATTAAGTCATTTCGGTGAGAAACCAGAAAAAATGAAGGAAGCAGACGATAATAAATTCTTGTGAAAATCCAAATTCTGATAAGATAAGGTGCAACTGGGACATGAAGTTTAAGTAAACATTTAATACTTATCGATTATATTTATTTTACAGTAAGGTTCACCCTATACAAGGCCCGAGAACCACTCGAGGTAGAAGGTTAAGTTAAGGGGTAGTTTATATATGAATAAAAGAAGATAACGGTTCACGGGGGTAGGGTTACGGTTTGCTTAGATGTGGCACAAGTGAGGATGGGGCACCCAGTGAGGATTAAATTCACTACTCAGTCGTAATTGATCTAGCGAAACAAGATTGGTAACCATTGTACCACGTCAAAGTACCCAGGGATTGTTGATCATGACCGTGATATTATTATTATTATTATTGAACGAGGCATTGCCATTGTCAAGAATTAACTTATATCAAAACCTCTTTAAATTACAAGCACACTCATAACTTTTCTCGATAATTTTCTTTTGCTCTCCTAGATTTTTTTCTTTTATTTTCTCTCCCTTAATCTGCTTACAAGTACCTTAAAACCGCTGCTTACATCTGCAGAAAATGATGCAGGCACTGAAACTGTGCCCCTGTCGAAAATCTGATACGAGATTACCGTCTTTTAGATAACGTTATCATAATGTCAGTTTAAAAATACAGGTCAAACCTGTTAATCTTTTAATTAACAAATTTGGCACAGCATTACACTTACAAGTACACTTTCTTTGCTTTTGCTGATGTCAACTGATCTATGATGTGCATAAAGTCAATTTCAGTTTCTTCTCTTTAAATACACGACTGAACAAGACTACAAAATTTACCTGAAGACTCTCCTCGATGCGACCCTTTTCCTGTTTTCTTTTCTTTCTTCTTTTAACTCTCTGACACAGAACATTAAGATCTGTTATTAGATTGTTCTATTCCTTCGTTTTTTTTCTGCTATAATTCCTGAGAATCTTTGAAGTCCTAACTAGTCCAAAATAATGAATACGTATTGTGATTTTCTAAGCATACCCTAGATGCGGCACAAGGCTGAAAGTATGGAGCATCTAACGAACTCACTATTCAGTAGTAATTGATCCAGCGAAGAGTGATATTTATTCCGCATTATGTACAGAAATATAGCACAAGGCCAAAAAAGAGGAATGTAAGAAAAAAGCCTGGTCTTAAGCTGTCTTAAATATAAACTTAACTAACCATCATCACTGACCCAAACATACGAAAATATTCCTTACACCAAAACGTTTTTACTTTACTTTTGACATCCATCATAATACCCCAGAATCTTTATGGTGTCCTTACTAGCCCCCGTATGTACAATTCTTATCTGGGTGGGAGGGTGATAAAACAACTCTAGAGAAGATCGATATTTATATAATGATACAAAATGTGGCACAAGGCCAAGATGGGGAATGAAGAAAAGAACGATCTTCTTCTGTCTTAACGTTAAACTTAGCTAGCCGCAAACACTGACCCAAACACACAAACAACATTCCTAACACCAAAACAACGCATTCTTACATACCTTTCTTACTACATTCACCATAATACCTCATTGTCTCTATAAAAGTCTTAACTAGTCCCCATATTTACAATTCATTGTCTTTGAGGGAGGGGAATAAAACAACAATTTAAAAACTAGTCCCAATGAGTATTTACAATATGAAAACAAAACTATTTGTGCCATAGCTAAGAGTCCACGTGAACAATTGCCATGAAAATATTTATAGAAGAGTCAAAGGCTTGCAACTTTACGCCGGTGGGAAAGTGACAGTAGAAAACTTAGGTAGCCACAAACACTGACCCAAACATAACACAATATTCCTAACACCAAAACAATGCAATTTAACTTACCTTTCTTACTACATTCTGACACAACAAATACGAAAAACACACACACGAAACGAAAGGCACCCCGCATCCACCAGAGAATTGACATCACTGACCACCAAACGATGGACGGGATGGACAACTCTAGAGAAGAGCGATATTTATTCTGATATATACATAGAAATGTGGCACAAGGCCAAAAATGGAGATTGGGGAAAGGACGGTCTTCCTCTGTTTTAACGATAACTTAGCTAGCCACAAACACTGACCCAATCATACAAGCAGTATTCTTTACACGAAAGCAACACAATTCTTACGTACCTTTCATACTACATCCACCATAATACCTTATTGTCTCTATGAAAATCCTAACTAGTCTCCATATTTACTATTCATTGTCTGTGGCGGAGGGGAATAAAACAACAATTCTAAAAACTAGCCCTAATGAGTATTTACAATATGAATAAAAACTATTTACAAGAAACCAATTAAAATAATGTTAGTAATAAAAAACCCACAATTACTAAATGTGGCAGAAATATCAGTTAACTGGACGAAATCAACACGGGACTATAATAATATAGAACATTCATTCATCCCAAGCACTCACATAGACACGCAATCATTCAGACACAACAACAAATACAAAAACACAAGCGAAAGGACAGGCGCCTCGCATCCACCAGAGAATTGACATCACTGACCACATAACGAGGGAGAAGAGCGATATTTATTCTGTTTAATACAGAAATGTGGCACAAGGCCGAAAAGGGGATTGGGGAAAGGACGGTCTTCTTCTGTCTTAACGTTAAACTTAGCTAGCCGCAAACACTGACCCAAACACACAAACAACATTCCTAACACCAAAACAACGCATTCATTCGTACCTTTCTTACTACAACCACCATAATACCTCTTTGTCTCTATGAAAATACTAATTAGTCCTCATATTTACAATTCGTGGTCTGTGGGGGGAGAGGGGAATAAAACAACAATTCTAAAAGTTAACCCCAATGAGAAGAGCTCATCCGAACAATTACCTTGAAAGTATTTATAGAAAAGGCACAGGGAAGCTGTGTTACGGCGATGGGAAAAGGACTGAAGTCGAAATGCCAGGTCACGTCTCTCCATAGATTACGTTTTTTCTAAAAAATCATTGCAATTCTACTCCTCGTCAAGAAAAGACAGCTACAGTTCCATGATATATATAATGAGGGAAGAAGGCTTGGAAAGGTTAACCCTCACAGGGCATATTGAGAAAGGCAAAGACACCGAGCCACTTACACGACGAGCTTGTGTGAATGAATACCGGAAGAAGGTGTGGGCCTATTAGCAAAGAAAGAACTGCTTAGAGCCACAAGGGATAGAAAGCTGTGGAGGCCCATGATTGTTTATCTCTTGAGGGAATGCGGCACATAGAAGAAGAATCGAATGATTAATCGGATAGGGACAAGTATTTAATTTTTTTTAAGAAGAAAAAATTAAATCGATACTCAGTGCAATGTGAAAGTTAGAATACTTTAAAAAGGAGAGTAAGGAGGCGTTTGAGTGGACCTTGGGGAACCGTCAATAATGTCTTGACACTTCATGTCAGCGTTCAGCTGATGTACAGAGCTCGGTGATTTCTTGATAAAATTAAAAAACGGGATTTAAAATAGAATATCCGATCCTATTTATGAAATCACAAAGAATTAAATGAAAAATAGGAACACGGGAAAACAGAAATTTCAAGACGAAACGAAACAATCGGAGAATGGGATTATGTTCTAAAGAGCAAAACATGTTTCTTGAAGTGGATATTAGGGGCTAGAGACAGCACCTCTTGGACGAAAAGAGCACTTGAAGGAATGGATTTAATGAAGTATTGGTTGTCATGGAAGAGGCTTTTTTTTTTAAAAAAAAAGTACTGATGATATTCTGTGTCGATATTCAGTAAACAGAAGAACCAATGCTTTTTGACAAAAGCGGCTGCTGGGTGTAAAAACGGGCGATGGGGGATAAAGTGACAGTTGGATAATCAGACGAAATTGATTAGATTAGAAGCTGATTTGCGTCCCCAAGGTCCAGCGTGTGTGTGCGTGTGTCTGTGCGTGTGTTTGTGAGTGTCTCTGTGTGTGGGTGTTTCTGACCAATTTTGAAAAAAAAACTGGACATTTTGTTTAATCATTTCACAGGGACATTTTGCACATCTATCTATCTATCTATCTATCTATCTATCTCTATGTCTGTTCATAACTATCTCAGTATGTTCATATATGTGTGTGTGCGTGTATATATATATATATATATATATATATATATATATATATATATATATATCACTCTGTTCATATCTATCTATCTATCTATCTATCTATCTATTGGCCTGTTTATATCTATCTATCTATCTATCGATCTATCTATCTATTGACCTGTTTATATCTGTCTGTCTATCTATCTCAGTATGTTCACCACTCTCTCTTAATATCTATCTATCTATCTGAATCTGTTCATATCTATCTATCTATCTATCTATCTATCTATCTATCTATCTATCTATCTATCTATCTATCTATCTCAGTATGTTCATATATATATATATATATATATATATATATATATATATATATATAGATCTATCTATCTATCTATTTATCTGAATCTGTTCAATTCTATCTATCTATCTCAGTATGTTCATATATATATATATATATATATTTGATTCAGATCTATCTATCTATCTATCTATCTATCTATCTATCTATCTATCTATCTATCTATCTATCTATCTATGTCTGTTCATATCTATCTCAATATGTTCATATGTGTGTGTGTATGTGCCTGTGTGCGTGTATATATATATCACTCTGTTCATATCTATCCATCTATCTATCTACAGAGAAAGATGTATATGGAGAAAGAGAATTCAACAATTTTGAATATTTTTGCTGAAATAGTTGGGGGGATGAACAATTGTATTCATACCTTTTCCAAGAGTATTTGGTGTAATTGAATATAACGAAACGGTAATTGGAACTTGACTATTCGATTAAAAATTCCCAGCCATTATCCATTACACCATCCACCCACCCAAGCTTACAGCACCTGGAATTCTCAAGAGGTCAACCACCTAGAATACTGACCAGCATCGACGTTGCTTAACTTCGTTGACCGCACTAGAACCAGTGTTTCAACATGATATGGCCGTAAGCTCATAACATCCTCACATACAAGCTTACAGCACCTGCTATTCACAAGCGGTCATCCATCTAGGATACTGACCAAGGTCAACGTTGCTTAACTTCGTTGACCGCAGTAGAACCAGTGTTTCAACATGATACGGCCGTAAGCTCATAACATCCGCACATACAAGCTCGCAGCACCTGCTATTCACAAGCAGTCACCCATCTAGGATACTGACCAAGGTCAACGTTGCTTAACTTCGGTTATCATATGAGATATGGCTGTAAGCCCTAAAACAACAAAAATGGGGATGCTTGTCTGAATTGGCCATGGGAAAATACGACAGGGACTTTTTTTTTCAAAAGGTCAGCTGACGAAAACAAAGACCTCATCGGTCGGAACGTCATGTTCAAAAACACTAATAACTCTGGAAGAATAAAATGAAAAAATTTTCCAGGTAACATTAGAAAATGCCGAAACCTATTTTCTTTCATTTTTTAAAATTCAAAACGTTTTTGAAGAAATTGCATAAATTACCAATTGTCTGCAAAATTATTCGTCAGTCAAGAAAATATTTTATTGGAAAAAAAAAAATCAATAAATGAATTTATTATAAAAGGAAAACTTTCAGTAAAATAATTTGTGATTTTTCGTAGAACAAAAATTAGTGAAAGTTACAAATAAATATTTTTGGGGGGGAATTGTTTATTTTCTTTTGCAATTTTATTTAAATCAGGAGAAAATCTGCGTTTCGGGCCCAATTCTACATTCATTATTCGAATTAAAAAGAAAATTAATCGACACATAAACATTGACTGTTTGGCCGATAAAAATCAACATTTTATTTCCTAGACATTTTTTCTTTTTTTGAATCACCCCCAAGGAAGGCGATCATGTCCCTAAGATGCGTACAGTTCGTTGATTTTGTTTAGCGGCATATCAAACTCAAGGGGTTATTTAATGTCGAAATCTAAATATTTTGAACACAGTTTTATGTCTTCAAGTAAATATCTCTATCTATAAAAGACTGGATGTGTGTGTGTGTGTGTGTGTGTGTGTGTGTGTGTGTGTGTGTGTAACGAATGTACGGCGGCAATTTTCGACGGATTTGCACCAAAATTTACATGCACATGCTCCAAGTTAGCGGAAGGCCAAGACCGACTTTGCATTTCCCAACTCCCATCGATAGTGGAAATAATCGATTTTTTCATGCTTCTACGGCAGTTTTCATGTAGTTTGCGGCCATTTTGTACTGGCCAGAGTGAGAGCCTATAGCTGGCTGCCACGAATAGGCAGGAAGATTCTATTGACCAGCATGAGAGCCAACAGCTGACTGACATGAATGTTAACTAGCATGCTAGCATGCAAAAAAAATCGATAGCTGCATTCGTCAAAATTGGGAAAAATTTAAATCTGCATGGAACTTTACTCCAATTGGCTCATTCGCTTGCTTAAACTCAACGTTGATTCTGATTCCGCAGAACTGGGTTGGGTGTGAAAAAGTATTTGTTGTTAACATTTTTTTATCATTCGGTTTTTCCAGCTACGAGTCCTTTTTTAAAGCTGATCGTTTTGTGTTCATTTTGTTTAGTTCTTTTTTTGTAACAGATTTAATGTTTAGTATAGAGCTTAGGAAAAATTCGCAGTGTGAGATAGGCAAGAAGTAAGGCATGTAGCAACATCAGCACGGCAAACGGCACTCCTTTAAAGACAAGGAAGGGCAAAAATATTTTAAGTCAAGTGATAGCGATTGCTGTATGAATCGTACGATTTTTGAATCAAGCACGGGCAACGCCGGGCCATGCTGCTAGTATACTATAAATAGGTATTGTCGATAATTTTATTATGAATATATATTGTTGGTATTTTTTATATAAAAATGTATTTATATCTGTTTATATATCTAAACTTCCAATTTCCTGATCAGAGTCCTTGCTGCTGGATGAAGTTTATCATCATACCCAGGACAAGATAACCAAAAAGCATGATGCAAATCTGTATGCTTCACTAGTCATCACTTCAGTAGATACTCATGATGTTCCAGATGTAAGGCTTAAATCTTTGTATACTTTTAATATTTGAACAAGTTGTAATCTCATCAATCTTTTCTTTCTTTATTTTCTTCACTCTCTCCAGAGCAGTTTGTTTGGCAGACAGGCAAGGCTACCATATTAAATTATCATTTTTGTATGGCAAAATCAAAGCACAAAGCCTTAAAACACTTTTTATTACGGAGTTAATATTTTTATTTGTTACAACTCATGACAACCTAGCATGAAGAATGTGTGAGTGTTTGTGTAAAATGGTGAGACCTAGTTGCCAATCTAGTAACACTTAAATTCATGCAGTTGAGGCATCAAGAACAATTGTCATCAAAATATTTGTAGAAAAGGCAGAGGGAAACGTTACATCAGTGAGAAAGTGACTGAAGTTGAGATGCCAAGTCAGAATACAGCCCCTTCTTTGAATTTTGTCAGGAATCTCGAGATATATAGTAGAAATAGCCGACTAAATATGGCAGCAATATTCATGGACGCATGGTAGATTTAGAAATGTGCAAAAATTGATTCTGACAAGAAAAATCTTCTGGCACAGCACAATAGTTGTGCCATCAGCATAAATACCTAGAAAGGTTGTTGATGAAAATCAGAAACAACATAGGGCCAAGGATAGAGCACCCCGACACCGAATTAATGTGAAATGAATTAGAAGCATGTCCATTCAACACAACCTTCATTATATGATTTGTTAGGAATGATTAGATTAAGCCAAATATTCATCCAAAAACACAGCATTCAATGAGGTTGTGGAGAGGGCCAGCATGCCAAATCCTGTTGAACATCTTTAAGATATCTAAAATCACAGTTCAAGCTTTGCCGTTCATATCTAAAGCCTGATAGATAAATTCAGTGATAGCTGTTAATACATTGGAGAAACAGAAAAATGTTGTTTATCCAAAAGAAGGCCACAATTCAATCAAGTTTCTAGTTCAGAGAATTACCTTTGTGATTCTTGTACAATACTGACTGAGGATATTTTCTGATTGCTTTGACATGGATTCCTTTTTGGTGATACTTCTCTTGTGCTTTGTTTTATAACGGTCAAAGGGGAAGATTTTCTGATTGAATAAATATAAATTCAATGAATAGAATTAGTCTGACACAGAAAAGCTCATTACTTTTTTTATAATGTTTTAAAGCATTCAAATGTTGTGGAAAACAAATATCAAGAATAACACAAACCAAAATTTGGAGTTGACACTACATTTAGCATTTTAAATTTTTTGGAGAAAAATTAAATTAGATTTTGGAATATGTGAAAGTTGACAAATCCACGTGACAGGAGTTCAAAGCAAAGATGTGATTCAGGTTATAAGCTAAAATTAATATTATAAAACATACCAAATTCTGTTAAAATATTCACATTTCAAATTTACTGAAATTAGATTAAAGCAAATCAGAAAATACTGAACATTTCCAAAAGAAGATTAGTGAAGAAGATTAAGAGAATAAAGAAGATCATGGTAACAGATTAAAAAAGATTAGTAAAGACGAATAACAGAATTAAGAGGATTATGGTAAAGAATTAACATTAAAAAGGATTAGTAAAAAGGGTTAACAGAATAATGAGAATTATGTTAACGAGTTAACATATTTAAAAAAGATTAGTGAAGAGGATTAACAGAATAAAGAGGATTATGGTAACATATTAACAGATTAAAAAAGAATTAGTAAAAGAGGATTAACAGAATAAAGAAGATTATGGCAAAGAATTAGCAGATTAAAAAAGGTTTAGTAAAGAGTGTTAACAGAATAAAGAGTTATGGTAAAGAATTAACAGATTAGAAAGGACTAGTAAAGAGGAATAACAGAATAAAGAGGATTATAGTAAAGAATTAACAGATTATAATTACTAGTAAAAAAGGTTAACAGAATAATGAGAATTATGTTAACGAAATATCAAAGAATAACACAAACCAAAATACATTGTAAGAGGTTCAGACCAGATATGACAGCAATATTCCATTCACAGACAAATATGAGTACCAGATTATATATGGCAGCAATTTTCATGGACGCATGATAGATTTAGAAATGTGCAAAAATTGTGTGTGTGTGGCCTTGATTTTCAGTGCCGCTGGGGGAAAGCATCAAAAAGCATCTGCAATGTTATCAGTCCTGACCTAACATCTCGACTTCAGTCACCCTCCCACCATCATAACGTACCTTTCTCGCGCCCTTTCGCGGTAACTGTTCTGATTTGCTCTTTAGTAACTTAATAATAAAAAAACGGACTTTTGAAGTCTTCTTTGAACAATCAGATATCAGGTTACCTAGAAAGAGACAATGTGGTCATTAATAAGAAGAGTTACAGTTCTAGTATCATTATTTCATAGAACTTTTCAGCCGACCCTCTTAAATTCTGGATTATTCTAATATTCTTCCCAAATATCTCAAGCTTTCTTAGCAGAAAATATCTCCGATTTGAAATTCCTTGCTTCCACTCATTCTTCATTCATTTCCTTTTGCCTCTACAAATGATGATAACCCAATACTTATCCCGTGTAAGAAAACGTTCAAGGAAACCAGCTGGATCTGCCTCAAACAACGTCAGATTTTTCCGTGATGTGATCAGCCTGGTGCGCTTTTGATCCCGTGTCCTAAGACGTGACACCCACCGAGCATAAAACCTTTGTCATGCCAAGTTCATTGTGCAGAATATTCTCAACTCTCTCATTGATTGTGTGACACTTTTAAAGATAATGTCTTTTACATGGCCAAAAACTGACACCATCAACTTCCCTGCAGATAAAACGACCTTGACCTTCTTTGGAGCAAGTGAGGAGAATGTCTCTTTGCCTCTAGTTCAAAATGTAAGGAAACCAGCTGGATCTGCCTCAAACAGCGACAGATTTTTCCTTTGCAGAAGATGCAGCTATTGATTCAATGTAGTTTTTCCACCTCAGGTCAAAGGAAAACGTGAGACCAAGAAGAGAGGCTCTTATGAAGTTGAGTATCAGCAATCAATTTAAAGTAAAAATATATCTGGATCAACGTATTTCAACAGATATTTATTTTTAGGCTTACATGTAACCATCAACTCATATCTCTTTTTTACTAAGTTCGAGTTATTTAAGTGTTTTCAGATAACTAATGTAATTACCCGGCATAAATTACATCTATCACCTTTCCAATTATAAGATTTGGCTTTTGCTATAATACCCCACTTAATAATGAGAGTATTACAGATTTATAAGAATATACCATTCCAAAGATACATTTACAAGTCTGAAAAAAAAGAAAGAAAAAAAAACAATTAAAGAACATTTTAAGAGATCAGCAATACGCAAATTAAAAGGTGGCGACAGATAACCCACAAAAATATATATATATATATATATATATATATATATATATATATATATATATATATATATATATATATATATATATATATATATAGAGAGAGAGAGAGAGAGAGAGAGAGGCACGGTGGATTAATGGATAGCGGCTTGGATTGAGGAATCGGAGAGTCGAGTTCGTATTCCTGTCGAATCCATTACATTCACTTACGTGCTAATACCCTTGGGAAAGCTGTGAATCCTCTTCTTCTCCCTCCAGCTATGGGTAAATATCAGGACAGACTGGGTTCTATAGCCTTGGGTGGCAACTGCTCAAGGAGAAGGACAACTCTGAATTCAAAACCTGTGGAGGGTCATTTGGGGACCTTGTGGCACTTAGTGCACCAGGTCTCTGTAATCGGCCCTTCAAAAAGTGGATGGTCCTGCACGAAACCTTCACCAATATAATCAAATCTCAGGTGCAGTTGTCGGGCTGTCGGTTTACTAGGAACTGATCTGCTTGACCCTCATACGTCGAATTCAACGGGAGAGTCGACTATATATATATATATATATATATATATATATATATATAGGAAAAGGTTATAGTTGTTCCAACGAGAGAAAAATGTATATATTAAAAAAGTGAGAAACCGCAAACGTTTTTGGTTATAATGTGGATGTGTTTTAGTGTATATATTATATTTTATTCTTCATATTATTGCTACATGGGTTTCCGGTCTCGTGACCTTCTTCAGGCAAATAAAAGGAATAAATTTTAAAGGAATAAATTTTTCTTATGCTCTTTTATTTATTCCTTTATTTATAATCGGTTAAAGGCACGCCAAGCTAAATGACGGTTCCGTATAGGATACAGGTTCGAATCCTGTCGGAGGACGAATATTTTCTGTGAAAATTTCTCGGACATTCAGGCCGGTAAATGTTGTTTAATACTATTTATTATAAACAGAGCATTTACTTAAATATTTGTATCTATAAAAAGAATGTATAAACATAAAAATGTTTTTATATAAGGGAGGGATTAAAGTTGTAACGAGAGAAATGTGTATATTTTAAAAGGAAAGAGAAGCTGCAAACGTTTTTAAAACGTTTGCGGCTTCTCTTTTCTTTTTATATATATATATATATATATATATATATATATATATATATATATATATATATATATATATATATATATATATATATATATATATATATATATATATATATATATATATATATATATATATATATATATATATATATATATATATATATATATATATATTAAACCTTAATTTTTCCATGTTGAATTGAAACGAAAATTGCCTTTACATATTTCAGATTGACTCTTTTCTTTTTTGCCTTAAACAAAATAATATTTAACACCAGTCAATCCCTGGCAATACTCTGTCTTTTCTCTCGTCTTTTACTTTTTATTATTCTGGCGGGAATTTGGTGAGCGTCTTTGAATAAACCAGCGCCTCTTTCAACAAAGGAAACACCTTCCCAGCCACTACAACATTTTCCTTTATAACTGGGGTTTGAAGTTCGTACTCTGGGGACTGGATGCACCGGACGTCAGGTGAATATTTATTTGCTTTCGGCAATGGAGTCATGTGTCGAAAAAGATGCTAAAGATACCAGAAAAAAAAGGTATTGACTTTCAGTTTAGATAAATGGTATTATCTGAAAAGTCTTAGCCTTCAATGATGGAGAAATTACGAGAACAGATGAAAGATGCATTGTAAAAACAAAATATGTTGTAGGATTCTCCATGAAAATTCTATTTTTAGTGGTAAGATAACTCTTCAAGGCATTATGACGCTATAGTGAAATGCCCTTTCCAATGCATTCCTAGAGTAAAATGCCTTTTTCAATTCATTCCTATAGTAAAATGCCTTTTTCAATGCATTCCTATGGTAAAATGCCTTTTTCAATCCATTCCTATAGTAAAATGCCTTTTTCAATTCATTCCTATAGTAAAATAACTTTTTCAATTCATTCCTATAGTAAAATGCCCTTTTCAATTCCTTCCTATAGTAAAATACCCTTTTCAATTCATTCCTATAGTAAAATACACTTTTCAATTCATTCCTATAGTAAAATGCCCCTTCCAATGCACTCCTATAGTAAAATGCCTTTTTCAATTCGTTCCTATGGTAAAATGCACTTTTCAATTCCTTCTTATAGTAAAATGCCCTTTTCAATGCATTCCTATAGTAAAATGCCCTTTCCAATGCATTCCTATAATAAAATGGCCTTTCCGATGCATTCCTATAGTAAAATGCCCTTTCCAATGCATTCCTATAATAAAATGCCCTTTCTAATACATTCCTATAGTAAAATGCCCTTTTCAATTCATTCTTATAGTAAAATGCTCTTTTCAATTCATTCCTATAGTAAAATGCCCTTTTCAATTCCTTCCTATAGTAAAATAACCTTTTCAATTCATTCCTATAGTAAAATGCCTTTTCCAATGCATCCCTATAGTAAAATAACTTTTTCAATTCCTTCCTATAGTAAAATGCCCTTTTCAATTCCTTCCTATAGTAAAATACCCTTTTCAATTCGTTCTTCCTAAATGTAAAATCCTTCTTTTAAAATTCCTTCCTATAGTAAAATACCCTTTTCAATTCATTCTTATGCTAAAATGCAATGCATTTTTAAAATGGCCTTTCCGATGCATTCTTATAGTAAAATGCCCTTTTCAATGCATTCCTATAGTAAAATGCCCTTTTCAATTCATTCTTATAGTAAAATGCCCTTTCCAATTCATTCCTATAATAAATGCCCTTTCCGATGCATTCCTATAGTAAAAAAATGCATTCCTATAGTAAAATGCCCTTTTCAATTCATTCCTATAGTAAAATGCCCTTTTCAATTCATTCCTATAGTAAAATGCCCTTTTCAATGCATTCCTATAGTAAAATGCCCTTTTCAATTCATTCCTATAGTAAAATGCCCTTTCCAATGCATTCCTATAATAAAATGGCCTTTCCGATGCATTCCTATAGTAAAATGCCCTTTTCAATTCATTCCTATAGTAAAATGCCCTTTTCAATCCATTCCTATAGTAAAATGCCCTTTTCAATTCATTCCTATAGTAAAATGCCCTTTTCAATTCATTCCTATAGTAAAATGCTCTTTTCAATTCATTCCTATTGTAAAACACCCTTTCCAATGGATTCCTATAGTAAAATGCCCTTTTCAATTCATTTCTATTGTAAAATGCCCTTTCTAATGCATTCCTATAGTAAAATGCTCTTTTCAATTCCTTCCTATAATAAAATGGCCTTTCCAATGCATTCCTATAGTAAAATGCCCTTTTCAATTCATTCTTATAGTAAAATGCTCTTTTCAATTCATTCCTATTGTAAAACACCCTTTCCAATGCATTCCTATAGTAAAATGCCCTTTTCAGTTCCTTCCTATAGTAAAATTCCCTTTTCAATTCATTCCTATTGTAAATGCCTAATGGAGACTGTTGTGATCGGGGAAGCATACTGTTGGAAATCCTTTCCCCACGGCAGTGGTTTGCGAAAATAGGCTGCTCGAGAGGAACTTTCTTCTCGTCAATTGTATTCGAAGGGAGACTCTTCTTTCTCTGCCTCAATGCCTCCGCCAACAGCACACACAAAATAAAGAAAACGTCACTCTTTCCGCGACTGAATTCATTACAAGACGCTCTTTCTTCATATCGGATTCTCCCCCCACCTCTATTACGCCCCACCCTTGCATACAATTCGTCATCACATTCATTACAAGTGGCTACGCAAATACAACACCCCGAGTTGCATCCCTCACCCTGCTGTTACTCTGTTTTGGAGTGGACACATCATTCGCCAGAAGACAAACGGACTCTGGACGCTTAACGCCTCAACATTGTGACTGACGCGATTGTCGTTTTAACAACGCAACGTGTTGTGGGTTATGACAAGCATCTGATGTGCTTACATGAAACTGTTTCCAGCAAATGGAACGGAAATACGAAAAAAATATGTGCACCTCTCGTAACAAAACCCCCACACTCTAGTTAAGTCTCATATAGGGAACTCCACAGAAAATGCTAAACGTAAGGTTTAAAAGCAACATTTGTCAGGAGTAGGAAAACAATTCATGATATTAATTCAGTATCAAATCCACCCCTGAAAACTTAACTCCTCCCCCGCAAATTATTTTATTATTTTATTATTTTATTTTTATTATTTTATTATTATAATTTTTTATTTTTATATTTTATATTTTATTTTTATTTATTTTTGTTTTTATTATATTTTTATTATATTATATTATATTTTATTTTATCCATTATTTTTATTTTATTTTTTTATTTATTATTTTTATTTTTATTATATTTTATTTCTATTTTTATTTTATCATAAATAATTTTTAATTTTATATTTTAATATTTTAATTTTTATTATATTTATTATTTTTATTTTATTTTTAGAATTTTTTTATATTTTATATTTCTTTTTTATTATTTTCATTTATTTTTATTTTTATTATATTTTTATTATATATTTTTATTATATTATTATATAATAAATATATATAATTTATTATATTTATTATTTTATTTTATTTTATTTATTATTTTTATTTATTTTTAAATTTTTATCATATTATATTTTTTATTTTTATATTTTTATATTTTTTATAATTTTATTATTATTTTAATTTTATTTAAAATTTTTTATTATTTCAGTAGTGGGGAAGCAATTAATGATATTAATTCAGTATCAAATCTGTCTCTGAATAATAAACCCCTTTCCCGCCAATTAATTAATTCCCTCCTGTTTCCCGCCAATTATTTTGGGAAAGACGTTTCATTTTCAGACGATATTTTTTATTTTTTTTAATATAGTAACTAAGTTCATTGGTCAAATCCTAGAATACATTTGTTACTACTATGAGGTCAATGTCATCTGCAAAACGTAGATTCCAGACGTGTCTGCCACCGATAAAGATTGACGGATCATGGTCGTTTAAGGTTTTTTGCATGATTCTCTCTAGAAATAGACTGAACAATATTGGTGAAAATACTGTGAAAATATGGTAGTCTCCATTCTCTTGGATATCAATGTGAAACGTGGACAATGTTGGCAGAAACAGAGAGAAAGATCCAAGCGTTTGAAGAGAAAATGAATGAGAAAACGCCTTGGTATCTTCTGTTGTGAAAATAAAACCAATGGGTTTGTATGGAAAATGGTTGCAAGTTTTATGGGACACCAGTGATCTCTTCTCGCCACTGTCAAACGGAGAAAATGGTGTGGTTTGGACACATTACAAGGCACGAGAGCCTGTGCAGGACCATCATGTAAGGCATCGTTGAAGGTGGACGTATGTTAAACAATGGACAAGCATGACTATACCAGAATTGCTGGTGCCATTGAGAAACTATTGTAGAGGAGATTCAATATGGCTTCTGCATTTGGGGATGATGATTAAGAAACTGAGGCCGCCTTGAAGTTCCCGATCAGTGGCGAACAACTCTACCAAACGCATGAGTTAACATTTGGACTCGTTTGAAATTCAAATTCAGAAGGACACAAAATGAATTAAGATCGATTAATAACACTTAGAAGTACCGGAACAGTAGCTAACACATCTACCAGACGTAACAGTTGACAACTGGACTCGTTTCAAGCTCAGAAGGGCATAAAAAGAATCAAGATCGACTAAGAACAGAGGTACCTTGAAGTACCCGAGCGGTGGCTATCACCTCCTACCAGACGTATTAGTCGACAGCTGGATTCGTCTCAAGCTCAGAAGGATATAAAAAAAAGAATCAAGATCGACGTATAAACACGTCTGTAGCAGATTTTTGAACTTTATGTTTGTTACGTATTTATTCGTTGGTGTCTGAAAAAGACACTTTCGGTAAAAACGTATATACACGTCTACGCCGAGGAAGGGGTTAAAAAAGTTATGGTTATTTTATTTTTATTTAAAAATGTCAAGTTTGAAACAGTGCGTGTGTGCTGGCACGAATGTATAAAAATATATCCTGCGACCAAGAAAAAAAAGGATTCCCTATTTTTTTACCAAAGTTCCATTTAAATCAAGTTCTACCATTTTCCCTAATTTACCTGTAAACAGTGTAATTATTCGAATATTATTCAGAAACATTTAGGAAGATGACATGAAGTGGAAAGATTATATTGAATCGATGGTTGCGTCTGCTTCTAGGAAAGTTGTCTTACTGTGTCTATCTTACGTATTTATAAGTCTCCTATTCATCCCTGCTTTGAATATTGCTGCCACGCATGGTTCAGTGCTTCTGTATATTTAAAGATTCTTGAAAAAAATCCAAAAAAGAATCAGCAATATTATTGATGCTGATCTGGCATCTCGGCCTCAGTCACTTTGCCACCGCCGTAACGTAGCTTATCTGTTCATTTTATTTATAAATACTTTCATGAAATTTGATCAGATTAACTATACGCTATGATACCTAGATATTATGAATCTAAGGAATTAGCAATATTATTGATGCTGATCTGGCATCTCGGCCTCACTCACTTTGCCACCGCCGTAACGCTTATCTGTTCATTTTATTTATAAATACTTTCATGTTCATTTTATTTATAAATGAATCTAAGGAATTAGCAAATTATTGATCAGATTAACTAGCTTATCTGTGCATTTTATTTATAAATACTTTCATGAAATTTGATGATACCTATGACAGATTATGAATCTAAGGAATTAGCAATATTATTGATGCTGATCTGGCATCTCGGCCTCACTCACTTTGCCACCGCCGTAACGTAGCTTATCTGTTCATTTTATTTATAAATACTTTCATGAAATTTGATCAGATTAACTATACGCTATGATACCTAGACATTATGAATCTAAGGAATTAGCAATATTATTGATGCTGATCTGGCATCTCGGCCTCACTCACTTTGCCACCGCCTTAAAGTAGCTTATCTGTGCATTTTATTTATAAATACTTTCATGAAATTTGATCAGATTAACTATTCGCTATGATACCTAGATATTATGAATCTAAGGAATTAGCAATATTATTGATTCTGTGCCTTTTTATTGTATTTTACAACTTATTTAAATAGGAGTAGCTACGTTTGCTTATCGTCCTGTTCGCACTCCTACCCTGTCTTTTGAACAGGAGTAGATATTTATCCCAGGTTTCCTTTAAGGGTTGGTTTTCCGGTTCGTTGTAAAGTCTACTTCGACTCTATTATTAACGTCTCCGCCTAAATTCTTGTTTACTATTTATTTAATCTTTTTTTTTCCTCAATAGGAGTAGATAGATACGTCTATTGTCAGGATCGCACTCCTCTCCGAACAAAGGGAGACGTTTATCTCTTATTTCATGTTTAGGATTGAGTTTCTGTTTCTTTCTAAAGTTTTCTTCGATTTCAATTCCGGCGGTGTTTCTTACTCTCTAACCCTCTAACTTGAGTGACTCTTGGGCCTTGCGCAGAGTGAGCATCATTGTTAAAGAAACAAATTTATGGGGAAGGAGTTTTCGTTTTGAAAGTAATAACACCACTGATTTCAACGGCATTTTTAGCCTTCCGTCAATGCAATTTCTCTATTAAAACTCTTTCAAAAATAAAATATATTTTTCTGAAATTTAATTTGAGGAATATTAGCTAATTTAAAGTCTAATTAATCCGATTTCAAACAAATATTACTTTAAGTTTAAATTTCGCAGATTTTTTAACACAGCGGTAGGTATTTACTTAAAAAGTGTTGACTAATAGACAGAAGTGTATCTAATGTTTTTCTACGATGCCTATATCTGTAAAAATTATTTGAGGAATATAACGTGAGCGCCTTTTTTATATAATTTTTAACTACTCAGTAACCTTAAAATTTTGGGAAAATATTCTTCGTAATGTAATGTTTTATTGAGTTTTAGATACTTTGGCTTTAAATTCACTATAGTTATCGCTCTTATTTTTTGATAATGTTGTGTATGGACGTCCTTATTTACAAAAATCGGCACATTTATACACACAAAAAATTTTCTTTCGAAATTCTTTTTAAAATATTAGGAGTAGATGAACTGTACTAAACTTTACTATTTATGATTAGTAAATATAGTTTTAAATAACAATATCATCTAACTTCTACAAAGTAAGACAGAATTTTAAAAGATTTAAAACTTTATAAATTATTCTATCAGGTCATCCATAAGTTCTGTCCGAATTTTAACTTTTTGTTAAAATGAACGAAATTTAAAGAGTATTTTATAATGTCTAATGGAGCTGAACATTATTTTTATGTTTAGACGCATTTAAACTGATCAAATTTTATTTCAGAGAACAATAAAATTAAATTTTGTTTGATTAAAGCCCTGCTAACATGGAAGTACCCAAGAATCATTTGAGGCACATAATGCTTTATGAGTTCAAGAAAGGAAACTCAGCAGCCGAAGCGGCTAGAAACATGCACTCAGTTTATGGAGAGGAATGTGTTAATGAAAGAACTTGCAGAAGATGGTTTGCAAAATTCAGAGGTGGAGTTTTCACCCTTGAAGATGAAGATCGAACCGGACGTCCAGTTGAGTTTGATGAAAAGCTTGTTGAAGCAGCCCTTGAAGAAAATCCTGCTTTATCAGTTGAGGAATTGGCAGTGATTCTCAGTTCAAACCATACAATTGTTCATCGTCATCTTCAACAACTTGGAAAAGTTCCTAAACTTGGAAAATGGGTGCCTCATGAATTGTCTGAAAACAACCTCAAATCCCGAGTTGACATCTACTCTTCTCTCCATTCTCGCCAACTTGTTTCCCCTTTTTTGGATAGACTTGAGACTGGTGACGAAAAATGGATCTTTTATCGAAATGTTAAGCGTCGTAGACAGTGGCTTGGTAAAGGGGAAGGGCCCCAGCCACAGTCGAGAAGGGAACTT